TCCGTCCTCCCGTGGAACGCGTAATCATAGCCGACGGATATTTTGAATAACGTTCGATTGCGACCAAGATATAAATACTATTACCAAATGAGTCAAGTAGAGGGCCTGCGTAATCAAGTTGCAGCTCTTCATTAGGACCCGATAAAAGAGGATAAGGCTTGGATGAATTAAATGATACGTTCGCTTTCAAATTCTTACCAAACTTTGTGCACTGAGGACAATCTTTGCACAGTTGGATAATGTCCCGATGCATTCGGGGCCACCAGATGTATTGTGCTGCGTCAACCATTGCTAACTGACCCGCATGCGATCTATGGAGTCGAGATAACAAAGGTTTGCGTAGACACATGGGAATAGCGATCCTATTATCCACCACAACACAGCCATCAACTACCGCTGCACAATGCCAAAATGATTTAATATAGGAATCGATGCGGCAAAATCCTTCGTAATCCCGGTTGATAATTGCTCGTTTCATGAGGCTTAAACTGGCATCTTCATCCGTGAGCTCCGATAATACATCTGAGTCCAGAATTCCCACCAGTCCGGTTAACGATTTCTGGTCCGCAGCGACCACTGGTGACTTTAAGATATCGAGACTGTTGACTGACTGAGATTGTTGTTTTGGTATCCTGCCCCGTTTGGACCTGAAATTCGCTAGAATACGGGCGTATTGACTCCTCAGTTCTACTCCTCGTTGAACTGTTGAAGATCTTCTGGGTCGAATAGCCCCCGCGCGAAACCGCGGCCTGGCTCTATCTGAGGAGAACAAATGTTGAGTGACCGGCAGATACTGATTTAACAACTGCTCGAAACTGTCGTTTGTGTTGTTGGTACTTGTGTTGGGATTCATTGCAGTCTGAAAGTGAAAAACACTCAAACTAATTGCACTCCAACCAATCCCATATGATGAAATCAAGAAAAAAAAATTGATTATTAATGCTAACAGATGACAACCGCTCACGGCCAAAGTAATAATCCACAATGAAATTAGAAATGGCAGATAAATTGTGATCCATGCTGAGAAAGTGGCAAAATTCGGCATGTTAATACTCGACGCTGATTGGCTAGAATACGAGCCAACACGTTGGACGCCCTCTAGCGGAGAAGAAATCGATAGATTAGAGGAGTTATTTTGACTAATGGCTAACATTTTGTCGCCCTCTAGCGGATAGAAACTTTCCGATGTAGGTTGAATGTCTTGAAATAAGACGCCCTCTACCGATATATTTCCAAACTTGTTCGATGCAACAAGTGAACTATTGATATCGGGACAATTGATCCGAGATTGACAATTTCCCAATAACTCAACTAGGTTAATTTGATCAGGTACGACATAATCCTGACTTATTTCCGCGGTATTGGATAACTCCTCAGTTGAAGTATGATGCTTGGCCCAACAGTCCAAGATTTCACATGCATCAAAGAATCGACTAATGCATTTGACGACATATTGTTCGTCAAAACTACTTGGTCGTGGAGCTTCAAATGTTGGGAAACGAGATAAGTAATCCACGATTCCTAGCTTACAGCCGGAGATATGGAAAATATCGAAATCAAAAGGTAATAACCTATCAGCCCATCTAGTTAAACGTGACTGATAAGTTTTGTTTCCGCGGTTCGTCTTTAATGCAGATATGATTGCTTTGTGATCAGTTAGAATCACGAAATGGTTCCCTAACAAGTACGTTCGGAAATGCTCACACGACCATACAATTGCTAGTAGTTCTAATTCATTGGTACTATATTTCTTCTCCTGATCGTTTAGAAAACGTGATGCAAAAGCAATTGGCACCCAAACATCCTCTTCTATCTCCTGTTCTAATGCTGCACCCAGACCACTATGACTAGCGTCACATTTCACCCGCGAGTTCCGACTTTGGTCATAGTGATACATTTTTGTTATGTTCGCGATCAACTGCAAGATGTTGCGAAACGCCATTTGCTGACATTCCCCCCACTCAAATTTGCTTTTATTACCTGCCGTCAGTGACGGGCGTAATTGGTCGGAATGGACCTGAAGATTCGGCAAAAACCGTTGTAGGTGGTTGAGTATGCCCATGAATGAACGGAGTTGTTTGAGTGTCCTTGGTGGTTCCAGAGCAAGTACTGCCTCTATCTTAGAACGTTTCGGTCTGTATCCTTCTGAATCAATATCGTATCCTAACCAAAATAATTGATTTAAGGAAAACTCGCATTTCAAAAATTTCAGAGCAAAACCTTCTTTATCCAGACGACTTATCACCTTGTCTACAAGAATATTATGATCCTCGACTGAGCCCTTTTTTATTAGCCCCCGGCCTGCTCAGTGCAGGACCAACCGTGGGGGAGGGGGAGATTTCAGCCATTTTGCCGCAGCCGGTCCCACCTTGAGGAGGCGGATGACACTGGGACCCCTCCAGCCGTGACCGAAGCGTGATTCGAACGCATGACCCTCGTCTGAGCCCTTCGAAACAATCAGAATATCATCAAGGAAACAAAATACTCCTGACAAACCCTGGAGATTATTGTCCATCGCTTTTTGGAATTCCTTTGGCATGTCCGTAAGACCATAAAACCCCGTCTTGAACCGATACGTACCAGTTTGTTCTCCGTAGACGATATTAAAATTGCAATGTCGGCTAATTTCCTCACTGAGCGGAATCTGGCTGAAGGCATATTTTAAATCTAAGGACGTAAACCAAACATCTCCTGAAATATCCGACGTGATTATCTGGGCGGCTGAGTCCAATAGTTCTAACAAATTTGGCATTTGGTAATGATTCTTATGAATTTGTTCATTCATAGGTTTAGCATCCATAGCTAATTTCACAGAACCATCTTTCTTCGCCGTAATTACGATCGGAGAGATGAAATACTCACTGGTACATTTATTCAATTTAACCACGTGCCCTTCATGAATGAGTTTTTGAATTTCCTGACCAACTTTATCTTGAATATGCACCGGCACTCTCCTTCTCTTTTCTTGAATGGGGACGAGTGGAGACTTGAACGTAGAGAATACTTTGTGGTTTTTGGCTTTGCCAATTCTATTGAACACCCGATGGAACTTCTGGTGAAAGTGAGATTTCCATGAATCCGATGTTAAATTGGGGTTTGATTGGGAGACTTCTCCCACCAAAGGACGATCTGGTCTGACTTGCGTTGTTCTTACTCCCAATTGGGGTTGCAAATCCAAACCCAGTAAACAACGTGTTCGATTTTCTGATATAAGGAATTTTGCAGACTTGATATGCCATCCCAAAGATGATACATCTACAATCAACGTACCCATCAATTCAATTTTCTTCCGATTATAGTCAACGTAAACTGTATCAATTGGACTTTCTTGAACCGAGAAGAACTTGGCTGAAGGAACCGTTTTTATAATATAGTCTGCTGTCTTCTTATTCACGAAGGAGGCTGGACTCCCAGTATCCACTGTTGCCTTGAAAAACGTCTTACCACAACGTAGTGTAATCTGGATGGAACGTAACTTGCCCGTGGCTGCATTGACCACCTCCAACTTTTTCACTGATTTAATTGGCAGACTTGGTTTCACAGCTGCTACAGATAAAACAGTGAATTCCGACTCACTATCGGACGTGATGAAATTACATGTTTCTTCCACTGTCTCATATGACTCAGCTTCCACGTTCGCTACATTCTTAGAATTACAGCATTTGGCAAAGTGACCCTTTTTGTTACAATTCCTGCAAGTAACATTTCTGGCTGGACAACTCTGCTTGTGGTTTGGTGAGAATCTGTTACCACAGAAATAACATGACTTCGATTTCTCGTTGATCTCCTTCTTCTTACCATTCTGGGCCCGAATAATTCTGTCTGAAAGTTTCTTACCCTGGACAGAGAAGGTGGGTTCCTGTTTTATCCGGGAATTCGGACCCATAGTAGCACCTGCCTGGGAATAATTGCCCGACGACGACGAACTCCCGAGTTGCCTTTGCAAGTCGGTGGCCGTCTGTGCTCCCTTTTCTTGCAGTAAAGATGATTTCAGAGAATCCTCCGGAGTGGCACCTGGATGAATGCATAATTCTCTCTGAATATCCTTATATCTCATTTTGGCAATGAAGATATCTCTGACGACTTCCTTTGCTTGATCAATTGTCCATCCACACAGGGCGGCTTGTCCCGTCAATCGTAAATAGAATGCTTCCAAACTTTCTTGGTCTGAATGTACCGCGTTGTAGATTTGCATACGTTCAATGATGAAATTTTTCTCCTTTTTGAATAGGAGAACACAGAATTCATGGAATTCCCGAAACGTTAATTCACTCAGATCTGCATGAGGATAACTTTGGAGGAATCTTTTCCTCCCTTCTGAGCCGAGCGAGAAAAATAAGCGAGATTTAACACGTTGTTCAACCTCGAAATAATACACTCCTGGTGCAACTCGGGGACCTTTCGCCCGGCGCTCTTCATTCATTTCTGTGACTTTCCGGACTGCTGCGTCATTACGTGCAATACGACTTGCGATTGCTGCAGCATCTTCATCCGCCCCTACAACTTCTGGTTTTGGAGCAGGATCGTCGTGTACGACACCCGGAGGTTTTAATAACTCTCGTGGATCGCATCTCTTTCTTAGAGTAATTGCCAAGTTGAATTGACCTATCCACGAGTCCCAGCTATGTGGTGGGTCCACAGTTGGTTTATGCCAAAATACGGATACGCCCAACAGGTCAGTTCGATCCTCGGAGGTCGAAACTGCTGACTGCGCCATGTGAAACGTCGAAAGACAGTTTTAAAACAAGAATCAATTCTCCTTGTTATGTTATCATATAGATAATATAGATAGATTAGTATTTAAATAATGTCATGACAATAGAAGTAAATACAACTTAAATCTTTCATAAGTTGAACAGAGAATGAATAGAGCGCATGCTGTTAAGGTTCAAGTGGATTGGCAGGTCGGTAACGACCTTGACCGATAATGGAGTTTAGCACGAATAGCTAGCACACTGATGACGTCATGTTTAAGACTAAACAACGACGCACCACAGTAATCATAAAATCATCTGTTGTCCCAGCTTCATCACCTAAACATAACAGCAATCATAAGCTCACTAATATCATTAAAAAACTAAATCTTTTTCTTAAATAAATTTAAACCATTTTAAACTTAAATTCACTTAATTTTAAAATCAGATCATCAAGGCTTATCCTTGGATCTTAATTAATTTTCTATTTCACTAAATTTAAAACTTGATCATCAAGGCTAATCCTTGGATCAAAAAGAACAATTTTTTTCTCCCCCACCCACTTAGGAATTGTTTAACGACCTCAAACGTCGATTCACTATCCAACCCTCCAAAAAAACCCAAGACTAATAGAAATTTTTCAACAAAACTAACCATTCAAATTAGGATAAACAGTGAAGAACTTCGGTTATTCATCCTTCACTTGAACCCTCCTCTTACCAGACCCAGGATAAATCTTCGACTTAGTAAGTTTAAAATAGTATCTAACGAACTACTCGCGTTCTAATTATACCCGAACCTTGTGGATCGATTTACTATTCTCCAACCCTTGAACACAATCACTACCCCTAAGTAAGATTAAGTATTTAACACCTTAGCTTATACTAGCCACGAGAAAGTAAAAAATCATTCTTCGGAATCGATATACTTTTCTCTCCAACCCTGAACAAATAGACCCAGGTTAAGCTAACCAAAAAATCGTAAGGACTAACAGTTTAAGAAAGTAGACATCATCTAACAACTTTTTGCATCCCTCATCCTAAAACTTATGTCATTCAAAAATCTAGGAAATAACCAAACAATCGTTTTACACAACTGTGAAATAGATAACAAAAAATACGATCTTGTAATCTCACCTCATACACAAACAGTTGGATATATTAGAACAAAACGGCTAACAATAAAAAGAAAAATAATAAACAAACAAAGACAAATCACACGAAAAAGATTTTCAAAAAATAGAAACGCATTTTCAGAATCAGAAGCCAGCAATTTAGATGAACTCTATAAATTAAAAGAATCAATTGATAAAATTGTCCCATTCACGATCAATTATAATTTTCCGACTCAGAAACAACTTCAAATTCATCAATAAGAGGAAAAAGAAGAATAAAAAAGCAATACAACTACAAACCAGTACACTTGTATAATTGGAATCAACCAATTAGACACATCGATAGTTATATATTAACAGTCATTAAACGAAAAAAAGAGCCACAGCCACACTCAAAGTGACGATAGTCCAGATGACGACGACATTTACCCCTTCCTCGTAGATGCACCCGATAATAGAGGGCAGCATGACTTTTGCAAGAATTTACTCCTAAATTTGTTTGAACCCGGAATCAGCCCATGCAAAACAGAATTCCCAGATGTAAAAATCAAAAGACAAATTATAGAACATTATCTGAAAGATATATGTAATTTAACACAAAAATATGGAATCTACACCATAGAATTCAGTACACCAAATCCGAATCACCGCAAATATGTAATTCAAACAGACGATCTTGACTTAGAAATTTCAAAAGTATTCTTAGAATTTATTAAAAGCGTACAATATCATAACTCACAAAGAGCAAACTCAATATTTACTAACGAAGTTTTTGGAATAATATATAGTTATATTTCAATATTAGAAAAAACAGAATTTCCAAATAACTCACCAACTGAGACATCCAAACATACAAAAGTACGACAGGAAATCACATTATTTTCAACTTTTCTACATATAATTAGAGAAAATTTCACTAAAGACGAAGTTTCACAACACACAAAACATGACTTACAAAAAATTTTGGCATGGTTTATAATAGATTATTTCACACATAATATAGACCTAATTTCACAAGCAAGAAAAAATTTCAGACGTCAAAATCCAAACAATGATACTGCCATCACAGAACAGTCAGACTACGTTTGGGACCCAGAATGGTCTCATCATGCATTTATAAACATCCCACAATCAATCTCAAGTCAAGCAATAAGTACAATATCTTATCAAAGAGATTATGTAAGAGTAGTAACATTAACCATTGATGCAACACCGTTAAACTACAATACATTTTTACCTAATACGCGAAACAACAGTTTAAATTCAACCGTCATACACAATGAAAACCTTAATGGAACTAGGAATCTTACACATCAAGATATCCAAACTCCATCACACTTTATAAATAAAGAAATCGTACAAACAACACCAACTACACAACAAAGCATTTCACCAATACGTCCAAATTTAACTAAACCAAAAAATACACACTCTTCACTAGCACACGTAACCTTACAATCAACCGTTAAACCCTCGGTTGCTCCACAATATTCACAAATGGATTATCAAACAATTAGACCTATGACAGTACCGTCAAAAACACGAAGAACGTTCACAAGAAACACTTTTGCAGAACACAATTATAATTACGCACATCGAAAACAAACTATCCCCCACGAAAAACTAATAATAATGATGTAAGATCTCGATATTGGGATAACCCAATGACAACAACCAACTCAGTAAATTTTCAAACTAATTCACATCCTCCACAGGATCGTAGTGAAAATTACCCATTTTTTCAGCAAAATAAAAATAAAAAAGCACCTCATCATACAGATTACTTATCATCTGATGATGATTATTTACAACCAGATATTTTTGCACCATGTACTCAAGAATATCGCGGAAAAGGAGTGCAAAAACCATATACATATCATAGAATTTTTCTCCACATCCGACAGATACACAAAATCAACAACCAATACAAATGCAAAACACAACTAATACACAATCTTTTCAACCAATTCAACCACAAAACCCAATGATCACACACTCGTATCAACCAACTCAAATGCAAAGTGAAATACCACTCCCATATTACCTTCAACAACACGAAATAACAAAAAATCAACTTTCAAATTTTTCACAAATACCAAATGCCGCAGAGTCACTACAAATGACAATGAATCCATACCTTATGGGTGGATCATCAATAACATTAAACAAGCCATTAATGGTATTCACAGGAACAGACCCTGAATATTCTGTAGAAGATTATTTAAATGCAGTAACAGCAAATTTAATTTTAAATATACGACCTGAACCAATTAATACACCACTACATCAAAATTGGATACATCGACGCACAGCGTTGATACAAACAACCTTAGATGGCGCAGCCCAAATAAGGTTTTCAGTATTGACAATAGAAATAAAATCAAATTGGAAAAGATTTACACAAGAATTTTCAAAAATGTTTGATTCCGAAAGAAATAAACAACACCAAAGAGTTTTATGTAATGAAATTCGCAGATTACCAAATGAAACCATCAAACAATTAGCAGTACGTATCGAAAAACTAGTTCGAAAAGCATATTCATTAAATACACATGACTATAAAAACACAAAAATGACAGAGAATTTAATGATGACCTTAACACCTCAATTAAGGAAAATAGCAATAAAAAAGAGAGCATCCCATCCTTCCTCAATCCGAGAACCCGATTTAGTATTCCGAAAACTAGTAGACGAACTAGAACAAGCGGAAATCACAATGAAACTTGAAGAAACAGAAAATCTGAAATTACAATATGTTAATCGAATCGAAACAAACACCACAAATATCAATAATATACAGGAATCAGATACAGACCTCGTTGAAAAAATCACTGAAGTACTAAATATTTATGAAAAACACCCAAACTTTAAAGGCAAACCATCTTTCAAAAAATTGTGTAATTATTGCCGACGATACGGACATAAAATTTCTGAATGTAGACAAAAACAACAAGATGACCAAAACAAGCCTCAAAAATATAAAGAACCAAACAAATCATTCTATCAATATGTGAAAAAAGATCAAAATCTACCAAACAAAAATGTATACAGCAACAACAGCTCGGGAAAACCACTTCCGAACAATACTAATTACACAAGGAATCAATCACCATATAACTCAACTTATAGAGGAAGATCACCAGAACGAAGAAATACACAGAATTCTTCACAAAATCATTATAATCGACCAAATAGTCGAAATAACTACTCCAGATCAAATTCAAATACAACACAATTTGTTTCTAAATCCAATTCCCAATCAAACACAAGAAATAAATACTATCCAAACAATCAATTGCGAAACTCATCATATAACAGAAATAGAAACTATTCAAATAATCGAAATAGAAGTTATTCGAACAACCGAAATCAGAATTACCCGAACAATCGATCAAGAAATAACTCATATAACAGATCAAACTATCACAGATCAAACAATAATTATCAAAACAGATCAGGAAATAATTCACAAAATCGACATTCAAGTAATAATAATCGATATAGAAATTATTCTCAATCACCACATAGAAATAATAACCATTATAATAATTCTAAACATCGCTACAGAAGTAGTACACCCAAACATCAAAGACATATTAATCAAGTACAATCAAATGAAGAAACAACATCAGACCCCCCAGGTATTGACGACACAGGAAATAACGAATTACAACTAAATCAAATAAACTGTGAATCATCAGACACAGAAAGTGATACAGTTAACACTATCTCCATAAATATGATAGCAGTCGAGAACGACTACGAACCTATTATATATGAACAACCTTTTTCATCACATATATATGAAAATCAATTGGAACTCCTTCACAATTATTATATTGAACCCATCCATACTACACAAATGGCACAAGAAACTAACGAAATTAACACTGTAAATAAACCCAATGAAAATGACAAACCAAAATGCTTGAATACACATCACATCTACCAAAATGTACAAAAAGAACAACCCAAAGAAAAAATTTGGACAATACCATTTCTTTTAGAAAGTCCAAGAAAAAAAGAATTTCAACCACCAGACCTTGAAATTGATTTTTTAATTGATTCAGGAGCAGAATCAAACATAATTACCATTCCCACATGGAATGAAATCAAAACATTACACCCAAAATTAACGCCTCTTGCAACCTCCAGTACACTAGCAACAGCACAAGGATCAACATTAGTAAACTATGGAAAAGTTCAGTTATTTTTTCTCCCCACA